GAGCATCAAAATCTATAGAGATAGATCAAGACGCTTGATAAGTTTTTTCAATGAGTACATACCTTGACAAGATTTTGAAGTAGTTCAAAATGGAATAGTCAAAGAAGGAGTTCTTGCCTGTGTTGCAAGGTGTGAAGTTGAGTAAAGACTCAAAACCCGACCACGGCACAAAATAGAAAGAGAATGAAAAGTCATTCCCTATGCCTCAGTCATAGGTTCTATAAAGTATGCTATGTTGTTTACCAGTCCTATTGTATACCTTAGCATTTTTGGCAAGGGAGTACAATAGTGATCTAGGAGTAGATCACTGGACAACGGTCAAAATTATCCTTAGAGGACTAAGAAAATATTTCTCAGTTATGGAGGTGATAAAAGAGTTCGTCGTAAAGAATTGCGTCGATGCAAACTTTTTACATTGATCTAGATGACTCTATGTCTCGATCTGGATACATATTGAAAGTGGGAGCAATTAGCTAGAGTAGCTCCATGCAGAGCATTGTAGACATAGAAATTTGCGAAATACATACGGATCTGAATGTTGCAGACCCGTAGACTAAACTTCTCTCACAAGCAAAACATGATCACTCTTTGGGTATTAATCACATAGCGATGTGAACTAGATTATTGACTCTAGTAAACCCTTTGGGTATTAGTCACATGGAGATGTGAACTAATCACATAAAGATGTGAACTAGATTATTGACTCTAGTGCAAGTGGGAGACTGAAGGAAATATGCCCTAGAGGCAATAATAAAGTTATTATTTATTTCCTTATATCATGATAAATGTTTATTATTCATGCTAGAATTGTATTAACCGGAAACTTAGTACATGTGTGAATACATAGACAAATAGAGTGTCACTAGTATGCCTCTACTTGACTAGCTCATTAATCAAGGATGGTTAAGTTTCCTAGCCATGGACAAGAGTTGTCATTTGATGAACGGGATCACATCATTAGAGAATGATGTGATTGACTTGACCCATCCGTTAGCTTAGCACGATGATCGTTTAGTTTGTTGCTATTGCTTTCTTCATAACTTATACATGTTCCTATGACTATGAGATTATGCAACTCCCAATTACCGGAGGAACACTTTGTGTGCTACCAAACGTCACAACGTAACTGGGCGATTATAAAGGTGCTCTACAGGTGTCTCCGATGGTACTTGTTGAGTTGGCATAGATCGAGATTAGGATTTGTCACTCCGATTGTCAAAGAGGTATCTCTGGGCCCTCTCGGTAATGCACATCATTATAAGCCTTGCAAGCATTGTAACTAACGATTTAGTTGCAGATGATGTATTACATAATGAGTAAAGAGACTTCCGGTAACGAGATTGAACTAGGTATTGAGATACCGACGATCGAATCTCGGGCAAGTAACATACCGATGACAAAGGGAACAACGTATGTTGTTATGCGATTTGACCGATAAAGATCTTCGTAGAATATGTAGGAGCCAATATGAGCATCCAGGTTCCGCTATTAGTTATTAACCGGAGACGTGTCTCGGTCATGTCTACATAGTTCTCGAACCCGTAGGGTCCGCACGCTTAACGTTCGGTGACGATCGGTAATATGAGTTTATGTGTTTTGATGTACCGAAGGTAGTTCGGGGTCCTGAATGAGATCGGGGACATGACAAGGAGTCTCGAAATGGTCGAGACATAAAGATCAATATATTGGACGACTATATTCGGACATCAGAAAGGTTCCAAGTGATTCAGGTATTTTTCGGAGTACCGGAGGGTTATGGGAATTCGTCGGGGAGTATATGGGCCTTATTGGGTTTTAGGGGAAAGAGAGAGGGGAGGCTACGCCCCCCCAAGGCTTAGTCCGAATTGGACTAGGAGGAGGGGCTGCACCCCCTCCTTCCCTCTATTCTCATTTCCCTTTCCTTCTCTCCTACTCCTACTACATGGAAGGGGGGAATCCTACTCCCGATGGGAGTAGGACTCCCCAAGGCGCGCTATTATAGAGGGCCGGCCCTCCCCTCCTCCACTCCTTTATATACGAGGGAGGGGGCACCCTAGGACACACAAGTTGATTGTTCCAAGCCGTGTGCGGTGCCCCCCTCCACCATAATCCACCTCGATCATATCATAGCGGTGCTTAGGCGAAGCCCTGCGTCGGGAGCAACATCATCACCGTCATCACGCCGTCGTGCTGACGAAACTCTCCCGTAAAGCTCTGCTGGATCGGAGTTCGTGGGACATCATCGAGCTGAACATGTGCTGAACTCGGAGGTGCCGTGCGTTCGGTACTTGGATCGGTCGGGTCGTGAAGACGTACGACTACATCAACCGCGTTCTCATAACGCTTCCGCTTACGGTCTACGAGGGTACGTAGACGATACTCTCCCCTCTCGTTGTTGTGCATCTCCATGATTTTGCGTGTGCATAGGAAAATTTTGAAATTACTACGTTTCCCAACAGGTAGGTATTGATCCTGGCTCCATCTTCTCCGGAAACTTCCTGGACAATTTTTCTCAATTTTTTGATCCCCGAAAAATTGTTTTTCTTCTTCTGAAAATACTAAAAACTACAAAGAAGAAATCATCAACTAGCAATTGGCACTAAACTGATACGTTAGTGTACAAATAATAATAATTGATGCGAAAACTATGCCATTATGATATAATTATAACATGAAACAAACAAAAATTATTGATACTTGAAGGACGTATCAACGTGCCAAAGCTTAATCAATACTCATGCCTCATAGATTATGACAAGTTAATTTTGACTAGTCCCTAATGTGATTTAGGTAACTCAAAAGAATAGCAATGACAAGTTAATTGGTAACAAGCAAGTAACATCAAAATATGCAGATAAACATACTCTTGCTTTTTTCATGAATCAATGCTTTCAATCAATATTGGTTAAGAATGTCAAATTATATTGGAATCGTAGCAATAGTTGGTCTTCATCATGTAATGGCAATCTTATCATAAACCACCCCAAGGCCAAGTTACTTTGACTATGCAGTACCAATGAATCACGTAATGATTCGTGCAATGCTTGAGTGATTGTCTATTTACATCAAGTTTTCAAAATGGAAGAGAGTATGATAATGGGGGTTTATGAGAAGTAAACAAAGTATAAGAAAATCTTGCATGAACCAGGCTTGATCATAAAGCAAAGTGAAAGCCTTATAATTGATGTCAATGCAAAGAGTAGGGATTGTCATGCAATGGATGCATTAGAGCCATAAGTGTATGAAAGCTCTTCTAATGGACTAGTGGGTGTGCATCCAATTTGCTTCTCATGGACACCTAGACCATTTGAGGAAGCTCGTCATTGAATATACAAGCAAAGTTTTATAACGTAAAAAATTCTCAACTAGTGTATTAAATAAGAAGTGCATGAAAACTCTCAATATGAAACGCTATAGTGCTACTTTGAAGTACTCTATGATATCTACCACATGCATGTGCTACTTTGAAGCACATGTATATACTACCAAAAAGGACAGTAGTGTTGCTCCCTCTCTTATTCCTCTCTTTTCTCTAGCACATCCTTGCCACATATTTTTATCTCCCAAGGTTAGAGCAACACCCTAAATGATATACAATACATATTTAATTTACTTACAACTAAACTCAACTGAACTAAAAAATGATAAACATGATTTTAAAACTCTAATGAATGCCTCTAGCAGTATACCAAGATGTACAATGATTTAGCGTAGCATGTATATGAAATAAATAAACGGTGGTATTGCCACAATAATACCATGTCAGCTCTGTATGATCATGGAAAGCAATATGACGAGAAGGAACAACATCTCTAGTCATGTAATTTAAATGACAATGTAAAATTGCATTTCAGTATATCTCAAAACGGTTATGGACTCCCATGATAGGTAGGTATGGTAGATGTTTTGAGGAAGATAATATGTGGGCTTATGTGTGGAAGAATATGAGAAATTCATCCCACGGGGTTTGGATGTGTCAGCGAAGTATGCACCAAGTCTCCATGGAAGAGTGAGCAATGGTCGATACCGAAGAGGCTAGCAAAATCATAAAGGTAAAGAAAGCAATATGGGATCAACTCGCATTTGTCATAAAGAACTCAAGCATTTATTATGAACATTACATAATTGTCTCATCAATAGTGCATAATCAAGAAACTCATAGGGGATAGTTTGGCAGACATAAGCCCGTTGTGCATCATGGCTCAACCAATGACACTCGCTTACTTACAATCGCCCCTCAACTTGGACTTCATTGCAATACAAATTACGTACTTTTAGTTCACTGGTGAAGAAAGGAATGATCCCACATAATCCTCTGAGTTCCCACATAATCTTACATCATCTCCTCACCACTCTAATCAAGCACATTTATTTATTACTCCCACATCATCTCCTCGCTAGGCAGAGAACCCTAGCCCCTCCCTTTATTAGCCTCTTGTCGCATAGGCTCACCCAATCGAATGCAAATTAAATTGCAATCCATTAGTTTCAAATTGAATTTCATACATAAGACCAGGCATCTTCACACATTAGCAACATTACATGTGACCAAAAAGTACTTATGGCCTATATCATTCAAAGGAATTTCATAAACTATTATATTCCTTTGAAATTTTGATTATATAGCTTATTTGGTTCATAGAGTTGTAAATCATTGGAATTATTCCTATGTTAAAGTTGCAAGAAATTCCAACTAAAATTCCCATTGAGTCCAAGTGTCCAACCTCATGGAAGTTTTCTTTTGTTTCTGTGACAACTATGTCATGCACCTAATGCTATAGTTATATTCATGCATTTTTCTTGTAACCAAACAACTTCTATTACAGATTCATGTGTTTCTGATTCCTATAGTATTCAATGTTTCATGTCACCCCATCCCGCGTTTTGAGAATCTTGCCAACCAAATAAACCATGAAGCATTGTTCCTTTACATGGTCAACTCAGTGTCGGAATATGAAACCAGGCAAATTAAGAGATGACTCGTGCCTTGAGTACTCTCACATTACATGCTTACATTCGATTTACCTAGGGTACGGCTCTGTAAATGAAACCTCATTCACAGAAATGTCCTCTCCCGACACGAAATCAGAAGTTGGCTCACTCCCGAAGAAGAATGCAGGTTCCTTTGGTAGCTGAAGCTCCATGTTGTCCCTGGTTAACATGAAAATGACGGTCGATATCTCAGGCCTGTGGTCCGGGTCTGCTTGGACACACATCAGCCCGACGTGCACACATCGCAGCTGTTGGCTTCGAGTATGTTGATCGAGTGCTTGGTCCATCATTTGCGAGATTGTTCCCTTTTTCCAGTGATTCCATACCTGTTAGTTTGTTGTTTAACTTCAGTCTGTTAATGGAAACCTGAGATCCCTATGATAACAATATTTATATATATGCATAAAGCTAGCTTCTGCGTACAGATAGAAGCATAAAATAGATGAAATGAGATGATACTCAAGTAAAATCAGCATGCACCTCAGTGAGGAGATTCACAGTGTTGCCATCTGCAGACCAACACTCCCTTCTCCTAGTAACGATTTGGAGGACTAATACACCGTAGCTGAAAATGTCAATCTTGGGTGACACACGTCCATGTATCGCGTACTCCGGAGCCATGTAACCTCTGCAGCAGATGGATGGTGAGTAGTTAAATGTTTACGAATACTCTGATTTATGGAGGTTTGATTTGGTTATGAAGGTGAGCTTACAGTGTTCCAACAACTCCAGATGTCTTGGTATGTGTGTGACCTTCGCCAAGCAGCCTTGCCAACCCAAAGTCAGCAATTTTCGGTTCCATGTCGTCATCAAGAAGTATGTTGTTGGGTTTCAGATCCCGGTGGATAATCCTCATGCTCGAGTCCTCGTGAAGATACAATATTCCCTTGGCAATGCCAATGATGATGTTGTACTGCTGCTCCCAAACTAGTGTGTGTTCTTCCTCTCTGGTATCATCTGGTTCAACAGAATTTTCAAATTATAATAGCTTGTGCTATAAGTCAAACTAAAGAGCAAAATGAATGCATTTAAGTTGGTTAAGTTTCTCTACTATGAAAATTCATGCTTAAGTTACTACAGGGTCCACTTTAAATTTTATGTTGGTGTGAGTGTGATACGACGTATCTTTGAAATGTTTAGGGTCTATCAATGTGGCAAGTTGGTGACTGAACAAGTCAGTGGAGAGAAGAAAAAATACCAGATAGAAAGTTGTCAAGGCTCCCATTCTTGATGTACTCATAAACAAGAAGTGTATCATCCCGATGCGAGTAAAACCCGTGTAACCGAACAAGGTTCTTGTGCTGAAGTTCTGCCAGCATCAGCACCTCATTGTGCAGCTGATCCAAACCATGCCCAGCTGTTCCCAGAAGTTTCTTCACTGCTATTTCCTGCCCGTCCGGGAGTATCCCCTGAAGAAACAGAGTATTCCTTTTTCAGACAAGTTGTGATACAGACAGAGTATTCCTTTTCAATTGCATACATACTATACTACTAGCTTCTTCAGTTACCTTGTACACAGCACCAAAACCACCTTCTCCGAGCTTATTCCTCTGCGAGAAGTTATCAGTTGCCTCTTGCAGCGCAGGCAAATCGTAGATCACGCACTGCGCTCTCGAGATTTTCTTGAATGCTGGTGCCAAATGGCAAGAATGGTATCAGTGAACATGAAATTCCAGATCATGAGCAGGTAAACATTTCTTGATGCCACTCACGGTTGTCTTGCTCGGTTGCCTTGTTGATCCTTCTCCTGAAGCGAATGAACGCCAAAGCCGAAAGGATCAATATCAATACAAGCGAACAAACAATGCCCACAGAGATCCCTACTGCACTACTCTTTTTCTTCTCTGCAATTGCATACACCAAACATCAACTCTGAAGTTAGAAATTGTGACAACTTTGGGCTGCCAGACAATTGGCAATATTTGACTTTGGTCTTTGGGATGCCCACAGAGATGCCCACAGAGCTGCCAGACAATTGGCAGTATTTGACAATCCATCAAAACTGCATTAATTCTTCAGACAAAACCAAGAAAGAATCGCATAGTAGTGTGTTACCTGCTCGGGTCTCCGGAGTAGCAGATGACGGCGGAGGTGGCGCCTGAAGCTGCAGCATGGCCTGGCCCTCGTAGAACGGCCGCACGTCATACCTCAGGTCGCACCACTCCACACGTGATGTAACCCATGGGGGTTTGGTGCTCAGATCGACTTTGATTTGCACAAGGAGCTGCCCGAGGCAACTGCTGCACTGCTCCGGCGTCAGGACCGGCGCACACTGCGCGAGCGCGTAGATCCTGGGGTCGAAGTCAACCTCGCCCGTGACGAAGTACTGCTTCTGGGCGTCGCCGGCGCCGGAGGTCGAGTTGCTCGAAGCAGCAGACACGGCGGTGAGGATGGTTGTGGCCGCGGCGCTGAACCAGGAAACCGCGACCGCCGGAACGCTCCCGTCAGCCGTTGTGGTTTGGATGCTGGTACCGGGCAATTGAAATTCGGCGCAAGTTCATCGGAATCATTCCAAGTAGCTAGGATACCTTTGAATCGGAAGAAGCGTGTTAAAAGTATGATGAAATTTGCAGTACTACCTGAGTTCGCCGGCCTGCCACTGGTCGGCGTTGAGGAAGTCCAAGAACTGGCGGTTGGCGAAGCGGAGGACGCAGTCGTCCTCGTACATGGTGACGCCCGTGTTGTTGGGGCAGCTCTGGCCGGCGGCGCGAAACGCCAGCGACACGCAGGCGGCGCAGGACGAGGCGTTGACGTCCCCGCGGCAGAGCGCCATCGCGTAGGCCCGGCTCGCCGTGCCGGCGGAGAGGGTGGCGAAGCCGGCCGGCGCGGAGGAGGCGTTGCCCGGGAGCGCCGCGGCGAGGAGGTTCAGGTTCGCCTGATAGGTGCTGTTGGGCGCGAAGGTGGTGCTGGGGTCGCACGTGCTGTCCTCTAGAGGACGGGCTGACGGAAGTACGAGCAGGACAGTGACCACGGCGAGGATACCATGCCCGGCGACCATCGCGGCGGCAGCGACTGGGAGGGTCGGAGGGAGTGGGTTGACTACTTTGCTTTTCTTCGGCACGCCATGTTAAGATTCCCCAAATGGCAGCGAGTACAAAACTGGGCGTGGGCTATCAAAAATCTAAAAAGAAGACGAAATTACGCATGTCTCTTTCGTCGCCAAATCAGTCGCCGCCTCCCCTCCTGGCTCCGGCCGACTAAAGCTACCTCCTCTCGCGGCACGGACGACCCCGCACGGCGGCGCTCCACCGCCCTGCGCCTCTGCCACATACCTACCTCCAGCCAACCAGTTACTGTCTGCACTAGGTTAGATTGTTTTTTTCACGGGTATGTTAGTCCAGAGTCGCACGAGTGGGAGCTTATTTTTGTTTTTGAAATATGTATCTGGCACACGGGAGTTTTTCTACAAAACTACCTACCGCATCCAGCGCTGTACGATTTGCATCAAGCGATCAACGCTTCTTTTCCGCAAACGCCCGCACGTCGGCTGCGCGCTGCTCCTTCCGCGCAAGACGCGCGTGGACTTTTCTGCAGCTGCTCCATGTGCAGCTCCTCCCGTGCATGGGCTCCATGCGCTTGTTTTTTTTTTTTGAGGGTGCTCCATGCGCTTGCTGCTATTTGTTGTTCCTGCCACTGTTCCGTACGCGATCTGCTGTTGTTTACTAGCTAGGTTAGGGTAGCTAGGCTAGTTACTAGCTAGAGTAGCAGCGAGTGCTGTTGCTATTTCATGCTAGTAGCCGATGCAATCTACTAGCTTCTATGCACTCTTCTTCCATTTTTTTGGTAAATTAAAAGAAAAAAGCTACAAAAAGAATGAAGTTTTTGTCAGATACACACTAGTAGAAAAAGGGCCTTCAGTCCCGATTCATAAGGGTCGGTACTAATGCCTCTCCCTTTAGTCCCGGTTCTATCCAGAACCGGGACTAAAGGGCGCGGCCACGTGGAGCTCCACATTTAGTCCCGGTTGGTAACACCAACCGGGACTAAAGGAAATTTTATGATTTTTCTTGAAATTTTTTTTTTGAATTTTTTTTATTTTTAAATTTCTGAATTTTTTTAACCTCTAGTCTGTAATCACCACCCCTCATCACTTCTCAATTTATCCTCCAATCACCCCTCATCATTCCAAATCATCTAACTTCCCGAACGGTCACCCATCCTCCCACTCCCCCAGCCTGAGCACGCTTAACTTTCGGGTTCTATTCTCCCTCGCTCCAAGTCTGCACTTGTTGTTTCCCTGACAATACTAAGATGTCAATCCTATTAACCTTCAGGAATTTTGCTTGAGCATGAAGTGACACATTTCATAGTTTTATTTTGAAACTATTGTTTTAAAAAACAATAATTATTTAGTAACACTAATATTTCTTGAATAATTAGTTTGACCATTGTTTGACCACAATTTGACCAGATTTGACCAAAATTGAAATAACTGAAATAATTATTTAGTAACACTAATATTCTAGAATAATTAGTTTGACCATTGTTTGACCACAGTTTGCCCACTGTTAGAATTTTTTTCGATTTTTTTCACTCTAGATCTTAAAAGCCCCATAACTTTTTTTCTATTAGGGTTTTGAGGATTTTGAAAATGTTTAACGGGGTTCCCCCAGTTAAATTCGGATGTAACTTTTCGAGTAGATGATTTTTCATATAAAAAACTTTTTCATCCGAGTTAGTATGCAAAAGTTATGCCCATTTTTACAAATTTCAGAGAGATTTTGCAAATGAAGTCAAAAATCACATTTGCAAATTTCCCAACAACTAGACCACATATCACATGGGAAACTTATTTTCTTTTATTTTTTGACATTTTCATCATTTTCTTTTATTTTTTTAAACTGAAAAGGCGATCCACCAGGGGGGTAGAGTTTGAAAATGGGACCTTTAGTACCGGTTCATGGCACGAACCGGGACTAAAGGTCTCAACCCCATTAGTCCCGGTTCGTGCCTCAAATCGGGACTAAAGGTCTAATCTTTAGTCCCGGTTTGAGGCACGAACCGGGACCAATGGTTGTGGGCCAGGAGCGAGGCCCATTGGTCCCGGTTTATCCCACCAATCGGGACCAAAAGGTCCAGATGAACCGGGACCAATGGCCCACGTGGCCCGGCCGGCCCCCTGGGCTCACGAACCGGGACCAATGCCCCCATTGGTCCCGGTTCTGGACTGAACCGGGACTAATGGGCTGACCCGTCCTGGACCAAAGCCCTGTTTTCTACTAGTGACACATCTCTCTCGCAATAAACTGTCTTTCGACGATGTTTTCTACTTTGATCCTGACAACTTCAATACCATCACGGTATTAATTTTGATCCGAAAAAAGGTTGTTTGACCTAGAGGAAAAAAGTTTTTGAAATATACTTCGACAAATTTTGTGTAAATAACATGGTATTTTAAGATATATTAAGTTTCTCAAAAAAGATGCCCCAATAACTTTATGGGAAAATAGCATGGTGATATATAAAATGCATATATGATAATTTACATACAAACATTGCGGTAAGATTTACCGGGAAAGGGTAAATTCTATTTAAATAACATGGTAATAAGCACCATACAAACACCATGGTAACTTTTGCACCGGAAACAAAAGTTATTGAAAATATATCATTGATATATTGTGTGAAAATAGAACGGTAATATATGAACCACATGCCCGATAACTTCCGTACAAACAGCACGGTAACTTTAACCAAGGGGGGAAATTTGTTGAAAAACATACCCCCTCGGTAATTTATGTGAAAATAACATGGTAATATATGTATCACATACCCGATAATTTACGTACAAATAACGCGATAACTTTTGACTAAGGGGGGGGGGGGAAGTTGTTGAAGACTGTCGTGGGAGTAAGTCTGACAGTAGAATAGGGGGTACGTAGGAGGAGGCAAGATCCTAGCTACGGCAAGGTTGTGCATGCAAGATTTACGAGGTCAGACCCTTCTCAGAATAAGTAATAGCCCTACGTCTCGGTGCCCGGAGGCTTGGTCGATTGGTTTATGCGTGAGAGTTACAGGGGGTGCGAACCCTTGTGCCAGTGGAGGGGGTGACTTATATAGAGTGCGCCAGGATCCCAACCAGCCCACATTACAAAGGGTTCAATGTACATTAAAATAGAGCGTTACTGATAACGCCAGCAATAAAGGAGTATAAATGATCTTTAAGTCTACAGAGTGATTGTCTGACCATTGCCATCCCGAGTGACGTTAAGCCTTCTCTACTCCGAGTGATTTCTCGTATCGTCGAGTGACTCATTCTCTTGGTCGAATGGAATTGGGGTATCCGAGTGAGGTTGAAGGTCAAGTGGATTGCACTCCTCGATAACTCAGTCGGTTTCTCTTCTTATGCTTTGAATGCCTTTGACTCCAGGGCAGTGTCCATGGGTAAGGCATCTAGGTCAGGTCCATGACCCTACCCTAGGTACATGTCATCGTCACATACCCCGGTAACTTATGTGAAAATAGTACGGTAATATGTGAACCGAATACCCGATAATTTATGTACAAATGCCACGATAACTTTCACCAAAGAGGTGACAAAGTTATTGAAAAATATACCCTCGATAATTTATGTGAAAATAGCACAGTAATATATGAATCGCATACCCGATAACTTACGTACAAACACCGCGGTAACTTTAACCAAGGCAAAAAAAATATTGAAAACTATACCACTGGTAACTTATGTGAAACAACTTATGTATGGGCACACCAAATGGTTTTTGCAAAATGACCGAACGCATTGGCTACCGTCTGATTGACGATCGTACATACCGCAATCCCCATCGCTAATTTCGATGCCTCACCCTAATGAAAACGAACAGAGCGGGAGTCAAACCCTGCACCCACAGGTTTTGGGCTAGCTGAGACAACCATCTAGGCATGCACTATGTTGTGATTGGGTACTGTTTTATGTAGTTTTTGTAAGTAAGGACTGAGAGCCTAAGATGACAATAGGACGCGGTAAAAGACATTTCTTTTTCTTTTCAATTTTGAGCTTTGGCGATTTATCTCCTAGTCCCATTGTTTTTCCCATGTAGAGAATACATAACTAGGCTATACCTTGTTTTGTTGTTGTGTTCTATAAGTAAGGTCAAGCCCGCGAACCTGATAGCATAGTAATTTCTATGAAAATAGCATGGTAATGTACGCATTGTGGACTTGATAACTAACGTACAAACACCACGGTAAATTTGGCTCAGAGAAAATTGTTTCAAAGCATGCGTCCGGTAACTTCTACGAAAATAATATGATAATTTACGCATCACGGAGCTGATAACTCAAATACATACCCCATGATAAGTTTTTGACCGGGAATAAAGTTGTTGGAAACATACCTTCCGATAACTTTTGTGTGAATAACACGGTAATATACGCACCATGAACCCAATGGCTTATATACAATAACTTCTGTTCAAATAGAAATGATAATGCAGCCAATAATTTATGTGTAAGTAGCATGATAATTTTTGATAAATTACGTAGAAACACGATGATAACTTTCACCCGGGGAGAAAAGTTCTTGATAACATAACGTTGTAACTCTTTTTGTACATTTACATGGTGATTTATGCACCACAAACATGATGACTTAGATATATATAAGACACCATGGTAACTTTGACCGAGGAAAAAAAGTTGTTGAAATACTCCCAATAAGTTATGTGTAAATAGTATGGTAATATATGCGCCACACACATGATAACTTAGGTACAAAACATGTGGTAACATTTGACCCTCGAGAAAAATTGTGGAAAATATTTTTTCGGTTATGTTTGTGTAGATGGCATGATAATATATGCACCGGAGACCTGATAATTTACACGTGGTAATTTTTTAACATAGGAAAAAAAATGTTGAAAGCAAACCCTTGAATAACTACTGTGTAAATGTCATGATAATAATATGCACCAGCGGTGAAGTAGTATATTTTTTTTAGGATGTGAACAGAATCTGTGTGTTGGCTAGTTGGTTATTGTGCTTTGCATAAGCGCTGCA